ACCAGACTGCTGTTCTTCTCCCTCATTTTAGATCTATAAAGTTTGTGATGTCTCCTAAATGCTTTTGAATTCTAGAAAAAATTATTTCGCATCAAAAATATATATCAGTGTTGGGCATTATTTATCGAGAAGTGTCATTTAACTGATAATACAGACTTTGTTTGCGTCGAACCCAAACCTCGCCGAGTCGCACCCATAAACTCATTTATATGTATATACATTCATCGTACATTATATCTAACTTTTCCATATGCTCCTTATATGTAAATATTTGCACTACTGGTTTTCAGTGCTGGATGCATTCAGTGCGCCGGAAGTACGTAAAGCATGTCTGTTTGCTAGCGAGGAAATTAATTTGAGTGACAGATTGCTTGTTGCAAATGCCGATATGCCATATATTTGCATATATATAAGTATGTTATGTAAATGTGCACGTGTTAGCAGATAGAAATATACGCACAATTGAAAATGTCCCCACAGACATTGGCGCCACTTTCAAACTTAATACATAAAGTAGGTTATTAACTGTTAAGCTGTTAAGCTCAAGTCAAAGACTGAATACTTCAATTCAAATTTATCCGTTAATCGAATTATGCAGTGTTTCGAATGCAAAACAGTAAAAAAAAGGTATACACTTTTTGAATTTTTTAATTTATAAAAAGTCTCATTAATTTTTTATTCTGCCGCGCTATTACACAAATGCATGTACGACGTATGTTCCTTGGTGAATGTCGCATATATGAAATGAATTATGCTTTCATGGCTTTGATTGCATCTATTGCTCTTGGCATAAATGAACATCGAAATATCTTGGAAGTGGCTTGGCAAACGAATATCAAGTAAACAGATGTGGCCTCCACATAAATATCAATCTTTGAAGGATATGTGATGAATTAATTGAATAATTTTTTCTCTTTTGAAAAAAATTAAATGAAGCCAAGTAGTACGGGATTGAGGTTGTTTTCGAGACTCAGATTAATTCCCTATCTTTTACAGTTTAATAGTTTATACTCGTGTAGAAAAGTACGTAGAAGGATTAAATATTACACTTAAGATTAAATTTGACTCGGCTTGGTCCGTTGAAACTACGAGCGCGAACGGAATAGATAAATGTTTTTTTCATAGTTTGGTACAACTTTTTATTTTGATTGTATGAAGTTTGATATCAGCATGCCATAGAATGTTTTTGGCAGCTGTTTGTTTGGGACGCGCAGGGTTTGTCTGGGGATTTTAAGATGGAAAAAAAATTAAGACTCCCTTAGCGACGATCGGCCTGCCTATAAGCATATATCAGAGAGTAATCTGAAAAACTGAATAGAAAATTTGGTAAAGACAATTTACATTGGTAGACCAAACAACCGTCTTATTCATCGTAGAAACAATAGGAAAAAAAATACAGAGAGAGTAGAGTAGTCAGTGTAATGATGTGAAAATATATTTTCCTTCATCATTAGATCTTAATACATTGAACACCAAGTCGTAGTATACAGTCTCACCACCTGATAAATGATACTCTCATCAAACAAAGCAAGCTAGAAAAATAAAAAATGCTGGAAAGGCATAACCTCAATTACTGTCTGACTCAGCAATGGTCAATTTAGAAACAATACTAAAACAAAGTAGCCCCTCCTTGTTTGGTGTAAATAGAGAGCTTTTGTTCTACTCATTATTGATGCACGAGTTTCGTTTGCAATATACGTTCACTGGTGAATTTATTTTTAAACCCAATAATACCAATTCAAAATATTTTTCGCGTTTTACGATAGTTTAAGATATGTATTTGCTTCTGTAGCCAACGGCACTAATATGTCAGTTTAGGGCACTTTGGTAGAACACGCTAAGCCCCTCCTAGCAAAGGCAAACACGCTTTCAGCTTATACTCGATATGAATACCTGAGCGGAAAGACACATGACACATTGCATTTATTTCCGCAGTAATTCGAGCACTTCGTTTGTTTTCCCTAAGAGTTCTTGCACAGCGAGAGTGAGTGCCGTGTCAGAGATCACAACAAAATCCTTTTAGAAATATTTAAGCAAATGCCACGCCAAGCAATTTGCTTATTTTACAACAAAAAAAAACACATTCCAACCTTTTACAGCAGCTGCGAGGTTAGTGCTGATGCGCCGTAGGGATGAAGAGAGGACTATACACTAGAACAACAGACGAAAACAAATAATGCAAGACAATATTCGCACATTAAAGCAGTTGTTATGTATGCCCATATATGTACATTTATATTTACGAAGGTAGTCCGATAGGTAATTATTTTCTTGGCTAGATGCCACAACTATCGCGTTGTACATACCGGCTAATATCCACCTCTGACTCGTAAGTTCGTTTTAAAGCTAGCATGGCCACGGATTTTTAAAATATTAAAAAAATATATGTATAGGTCGGTGAATCATTTCTTCTTTTTGGAACCAAATTCGTATTATGGAATCAAAGAGCGCTTTCCATAGCAATAGTCAATAATCAGAATAATGAGCTTCAACTTGTTTACACATCGGTTTTTGAAGAAGAAGGTAACCTGATAAAAGCCCACGTCCTGAGCTTGAGAAACTGTTTGCGCGATGAGGGATACGTGTGATTACTTCGAACAATAAGTGATATGAGACTATGAGACCACTTCACAGTAGTATTTGCTGCTGTTTAGGCACGATTCGAAGGAACCTCAACGTCGTTTCGAGACTTCTGATGACACCAGAGACCAGAAAATAGTCAAAAGAGTGCATTTCATCCGACGGAAAGATGATTATGACCGTTTTTTAGATATCACATAGTATGATATCCATATAACCCTTTGTCGAAACGGTTGCAAGGCTCTACTATGCTGAATTACTTGATTCTTTCGGTGCTGAATTTCGAAGAAAATAGTGCTCTTCCACCATGACAATATCTTGGCTCACACCATTATATTTGGCTTTGTGCGACTTTTGTTTTTGTTTCCAAACCAGAAAAATTACTCGCCGGACAGAAATTTAAAGCGAATAAGAAGATTATTGCCGCCACGGAGGAATATTTTTCATATTTGCTGGGTCAAGTATATCGAGATAAAAAAAATATGTATAAAAATTTGTCGTTTCTATAATTTTCGTCTTTCTTTTATAGGCTAAGTTCTTATCGGATCACCCTCGTATAGTTAAAACATATGTGCATACACAATCCTACTTGAGTATCCGCTAGAGCGTGTCTGTTGGCAATGAAACATCATTGCATCATGTACCATTTTGCTCTGTTGCCGCTATTTTGTTAATCTCTAAGTAGCACCTTGCTACATAAAACCGAAACGTGCATATGTGCACACACATACTTGTACATATGGTTGTATATGTGTTTCCATGTAGACATGCAGTATGTTTACTTTAAGTTTTGCTATTCCTCGCATGAGTGCTTAATACGATTTACGTTTATGTACACACATACCTATATTCATACATTTTTATGGTATACGCAAATTCGACTGTAGTCGCTTATGCTTTAACATTTATTCTAGCTTAGTATTACTTTTTTCGTGTTAGTTTCCAGGGACTCCTAATTTCCGTTAGCATTTGTACACAAAGAATTATCACATTTTTTAATCTGAAAATCTCAGCCTTGCACTGCCTTTACGCCTGAATTTAAACTCTATGCATGTACCGTTCCAATCATAATGAAGTCTCATCGGATACTCATCATACAACTTAACCTCCTTCTTATTCGTTTCAACGAAAAATTGTCTATGCATTGTACTTTTTTGTGCGGCTTTCTTGTTGCCATCTTGTTGATTTCTTTCACGCCTGAGAGCGACATTTACGTTGCCGTACTTTTTGCTCTTTTAGTCCTTCGCCTTACCCTTCCCTCTTTGCCCACCCTCATACGTTTTGTTTTATTTATTTGGCTTTGCGTAAAATTTTTTCAAGTCCCCAAACTCGGCTCATCTGCGATTTTTCCTTAGTAAGTTTTGGGAGACGAAAATCCTTTGAGACGCTTATATATGCATATGTAGGCATGTGTAAAGGGGACATGTGTATATGCTGGTATTACACGTGCTCGTCATACCCAGCAGGAAAAAAATTATTAGTGTTCGATTCCACTACTGCTAGGAAATTAATAAAAATAAATATATATGTCAAAACTAAGAAAAACTTCCAACTATAACCTGTTGAAAAATCTGAAAAATTGTTAACAAACATCACATGAGAGATCCAAAGATGTTAGACAATTAATTCCTGTATTACTTGTATATATTATATAATATCTTAAAGTGATGCTGTGAAGTGTTAGATTAAAAAAGAAGTACATATATAAAAAAGACATGCGCATCTCTTGATAAAATACTAGTATTTAATTTAAAAAAAATTGCTAATAAGAAGAGTAAAGTTTGTGAGATTTGGCCAGTTTCTGACCCGTGGTGGAAGCCGGAATTCGCAAGTTGTTTGCTGAAGTCCGTACAGGTCCAATGAGTAGCGAAAACAATGAACCTGGTACACTCCTAAGCGAGACAGTAACGGGCAAAAAGATCAGAAAACGTGATGGTGAAATGAAGTTGATTGAGATAGCAGATACTCTAAAGGTTTCAAATTTGGATACTCTATGGATAATAATGTTAGACATTGGATATATCGTTCATACAATTTTTTGTAAGTTAAACGAGAGGTCACAATCAATAAAAAACAGCAGCAAAATTACGTTTTTGACCAGTATTTGGAGCAATTTAGTAGTAATACAAGTATTAACGATATTTGATTCCCAATTGAAATCCAATTCCCGAAGATTATTTCACTCCGGGAAGCCAATAAACAGTCCTTCTTGTGCAATGTACTCAATAAACCGAGTCAAATGCGTGGAAACACGAAAGAGTCAGCTGGAAAATTTATTCTGCATGTCATCTGTATTGTGGGCTGCAGATGTAGTAGTATTTAACATTAGCTTAGAAAGAAATAAGCTTTAAATAATGATTGCTAAATAACATTGTAGGCACGTTTGGTTGAAATTGACAAGACTCTGAGTCTTTAATAAAAAAAATGTAAGAACGTTTTTAAGTCAAAATCACGAAAAAATGTTTCATTTGAAAATAAAATTGTTGTCTTCCATATACATAGTACATTTTCCAAAATCAATAAAAATGGTGAAAAAATTGCACTAAGTTATTTGGCTTCCTACTGCACACGCATTCATTCCCCGAATCTGGCGTATGAGGTGTTTTACTGTTCACAGAGAACGAGAGAGTAATACCTGGAACCAAACTCAGTGACAATAAAGTGACTCGTAATCGCCGGGACCACAGACTATTTTGGAAGCTACTACATTAAATAAAAAACCCAGGCATGGTTGGATATGGAAGAATTAGTTGAGGTTACTAAAGATAAAAAATGTATTTCCTATATTACGTCATCTTTATCATCGTTTTCGTATGTGAGTCATAGAAGTTAATTTAAAATCCCAGGATAGACCATTTGATGTGCAGCAATGATTTTCAAGTGAAATTATCTGAAGGATGATTGTTTCTGTTGAATTTTTGGAAATGCTATCGGTAAATCAGTATTGTGAAACTTATTAACTTACATAGCAGAACAATCCCACCTACCTTTTGCTATTTCAGTGTTATACGTTAGTTTGTATGGAATCAATATGTTTTAGAGTTGCATTTAACATATATAAATGCATAAATATTCATAGTTTCTTAGTTTAACTGTAGCTTGTGGTGATAAATTTACGTTTCCTACCAGGTGTTTGAAGCGTTTCTGTATGTGTGTTTGAGTAAAGTATCTCTGATGTGTGCGCGTGACAATTCGTCTGACTTTTAATACTGTTTGCTTTGTGTTCCGTGTTCAGCGCTCAGCGTTTTGGGCTTTGTGAATTTTGATTTGTTTTATTGAGTTGTTTCTTAGGCTTCACCACCAGGCGACCTCTGGCAATTTGCTTGCGTATTTTGCTAGATTTAACTTTGTCTTTGTTTTGTCTGTTGATAATCCGGGCGTTAAATGTACAAGCAAAAAATGTTCTGCATATAATAAGTGCTTATGTGAAATCGGCAATAACAATCGTGTATACGAGTGTATCTGCAGCTGAGAGACGGCTTAAAGTTTTTCTTTTTTACGTAAACGCATACATACATATATTAGGCACTCTGTATGCACATACGCTTATGAATATTTAAATATATACGAGTACATACAAGGAAGAAATTCTGGTAGGTACTATCGATTCCAATTTTTGTTTTTGTAAAACGTTATCATACGCAAAGTTTAACAAGCTCACCTTCATACGTTCATTTTTAATATAATATATTGACCGAAATATGCGGTTTTAAATTTGATGGGAAATATGTGGGAAGAGTGGAAAATATTGAACAATTATCGTCGATTTTCGGAAATAAATTGCCATACTGGAGGAATGATGTATATTTTGAAATCTGGTTTACTATATATGCTATTTATCAAAAAATTGGAAACATTTTTGTTATTGAATATACCGTTACGTAGAACGAGACGTCTTTTGGAACCGGGGTTCGACTGCATTTTAATTTGATGTTGTGAAATTTAAAGCTTAAATTTTTACATAATTAGCTTACAAAATTATAAGATTTCGCCAGTTTTAGTAGCAACAATGAAACATTGTGAACACCAAATAAGGCTAATATATCTGTATATTAACGCAAGTTATTTGCCAAGTAAACATGAATATTATAATTCGCCCCATGGTTCTGAAAATATTAATCAGTATTTATAATTCGGTACATGACATTCTTTTGATATTTATAGTGCGAAAATGGGGGAAATCGGACTACAACCAAGCCTATTTCTTATATAACACCATTTTAAATCCCATTTGATTCTTTCACTTTTCAGTATGCAAATCAAGCAACAATGATTGTATCGGGGTAAAACTTTGCGTGAATAATGGGTGTAAAGTATGCCACTTTGTGACCAAAAGTTCTCTAAACTGTTTAAGCCCCTAGGTACTGAATATGTGGACCCTAGTGCCTATAGTTGACTTTTTACCGAAAGTATCGGTCAACATAGAACAAGGCGGCAAGATCCACAAAGAAATCTAAAACGAGTTTACCATTTGACTTTGCGAGAGTATAAAATATTCGGCTACATTCGAACTTAGCCCTTTCTTACTTGTCTGTTATCAGTTTAATTAAATTGTATCTTTTCTGTTGAGTACCTGGAACGTTTATATTTAACGGACATTTAAAGATTGTGTTAGTTTTTAACATCATTTAATTTTTATAAAAGGTCCTTAAGGTCCTGCTCATATATAAAAACTCTGTCTTTATCTCGATATAAAAGGTGGTTGATATCAGTTATATATATATGTACGAAACTATAATAGCTATTTTAACCGAATGGGTGTAACATTATTCAGACCTTCATATCTTACATTGCGAAAATTGTTTCATAGTCAGTTTATAAGCTGAGGGTCAAGGACGTTATTAAAATATTATAAAATTTTGTAGAAATAAAGAATTTGAGGTATTCCATCTTACATCTAAAACTATCGAAATCAGATAATAACTTTTCAAAGCATCAGATATGCTGTGGATCCCAGTGCTTATGGCTGATCTCTTACCTAACCTATCAGTCAATCTTTGTGATGTAGTATTTAAATTCAGAGAAAATGTTTTATTTTCTTTCAAACTTCTGACCCTTTTCGTTTAATAGAGATTAATCTGATATGATATGTTGTAAACTGCATAAAACTGCAGTTTAATACCAAAAACATGTGAGTTCGGTCCACAACTATTCCTAGCTCCCATATACTACAAATAATGATTTCCATTAGTCTAGCAGACTTAATGCCCAACATGTCGGATATCGTTATTTCCATCCATTTTGACTTTCAGTTTGACTTTAAAGCGTTCATGTCGGTCAACACTTGTGAAATTTTAACGAAATTAAGTGGACAGTTTTTCTCAAAAATAGTGTGGTTTAGCGCTGAATATAATTGGAATTGATCCAGACCTTGGTCTAAAGCTCATATCACTAATAACCCGATTTCTAACCTTCTGATTGATGTTTTCTTCATGTATCCCTTATATCACGTTTAACCCCTTTACTTAAAAATTGGCATTAATGTAGAAAAATTCATAGTTTTTAAGTAGAAACGATGCTACATTACCATTTAACAAGCACAAAATCATTATATTTGTACTGATTGTTCTTTTGTTGTTTTCCGGTGACCAGAGTCGTGGAAATCGTGGAAATCGTGAAAAGATCAACACGCCCTTTCATGTGTTCTTTAACAACGTGAAGATATGTGCATTTTAGTGTGTTTTGAAATATCTAAAATAAGTATAGAGCATCAAAATGCGCCGTAAATTGTGGTTTGTAGACAAGAATACCCCCTTAAATAAATAAAGCACTCATTATAAACATCGCTTGCAAGTTTTCTTACGAAAATGCTATTGACTTACTTCCATTACCTAGTACCGCTTGTAGTTAATACTACGGTCTTATAAAAAGAGTTACTTCTGTCAAACAGATCGCCGTTTAGCAGCTGTGACTCACTCGACCTCCGCAAAGAAGGGTTAATATCGTAATCACTGTCAACGGTAGGAAAAAAATGGAAAACTTGCGTATTCATGAATATATGTTTGCACAAAAATTTAGTGTGGGTGTGATTTTCACTTCATCAAGTATTCCAACAACGCAGACAAGAAAGTCGCAAAATTACAAACTTTTTTCAACTACTTGCTTACATTGTTCGATTATAAAGTGCGGAATAGTCTAAGAGTCAAATGGAGAAAAAAAATAGTACAAGTAGAATGGGAAAAAGGATTGCAATATATTATATTTGGAAATGTTTTCTTAGGCAAAACAACTACATAAATAATTAAATTATGTTTATACCCTTTCGAGACGTTAGAATGAACTTCTGCTTCTATTTGTTGCTTGCCTCTTTAACATACATATCCAAGATATGAAAGTTAAACAAGTTATGTGAAAAGATTTTAAGTTTTAAGTATAATTCCGTTAGAAAAAACCTTATATAATTATATTTTTTCTTTCGGCGGGAACTCATAAATGTCCTGTTATATTATGTCCAATCGAGAATATCGCCTACATCTAAATTCCTATTATCCTTATCCTAAATTAAAATTATTATTATAATAAATTAGGTTATTATAGTGGAATTCGTTCTTTCCTTTGCAAATTTAAGCTTAGATCAGTCTGAGTCCATTACTTTATTGACAACCAAAACTATTGAACACTTCTGCTAGAGAGAGAAAGATAGCACAGCAGTCTAGCAAATAACATACTGGTACATATATACCCGATACAAGAAAATTTTCTTATATATTTATATACGTTAGTTTAAGGTAAATTTTCTGCAGCTGATTCTATGAGCTCGGTAGTTCTATCTAAGCAAATGATGGCGAAAATTTAGTAAAGCGCAGCATCATTTTCATTTGAACGCGTAAAAGTTTTAAACTAAACCAGCTCTATTCCGCGCGATTTCGTCACTTACTTTCATCTCCATTTTCTTCGGGAAAAATATGACGGCACCCGACGTTGGTGCATGATGAATGCGAGTTGATGAGTTCGTGAAATGAAAAATGATGACTCTACTCGTGGCAGCAGCAAGTTTCACCTATTCCTATGCAAGGCTATCAGCTATCAAAAGCACGAAGCTGCGGATGATTTCATGTAAAGTAGCACTTAAATAGAAAACAAAACATGCAAATGGAAAACTTTTGTAAAGTCGGAAGCATTTCAAAAGGGAAGAGGTGGCATTAGTTAAAAACATGTGTGCGTAAGTTATTATATGTTCGACTAAGGTTCGAAATTTACTCATTTTCTTCTGTGATTTTAGCTCCACAAGAGTTCATTTTTGACTATTATAGCCACATGTGAATGCAGAGTTTGATTTTGAAGGCAAACTTTTGATGTTTGCGTGATAATAGAGACAATATTTTCACGTGAATACTCACTTTAATCACGCTGGACACATTGGTCCATTTTAACACTACAATATTAATTAAACAGTGCAACGGCTTGAAAAAAAACAAGAAACCACGTTAACTTCGGTTGAACCGAAACTATAATACCATTCACAATTACAAAAGATTCCTAACAAGAACTTGATTTTGATCGGTCAGTTTGTATGACAGCTTTATGCATTAATGACTCGATCCCGACAATTTGTTCAAAGATTATGCCGAAATTAATTCCAGCTACTGTGAGAGAAAAGGACACAATTTTTTTCTTTCTTGCAGATTAGATAGAAATTTATAGAAAGCAAAACTAAAGGGTTACTAAAACGTTGTCCCCTAAGAAAGAATTATAACACTATTGATCAAGTGCTGCCCGTTTGTTAAAGCTACTGGTATAGTTTGTTCGATTTGCTACATTCCTACGCTTTGCGAATCGAAGACAGCTATAGTAAGTTTAATTGAGTGTACTAAGTTTTGCTTCGTTTCGAAATCTTCCTATATTGTGGTTATTCTTCATTTATGTTCTTTTATATAAATCTGCTTGCATGGAACAAAATTTTACTAACTCCCAAACGCCGAATAAAAAGTTT